CAACATTGCAGCCAGTGGCTGAAGGAGGAAATACAGCTTTATTTTGTAGCAATTAAAGAGCTACCAGCTTTTATCAGTTCGCAAAAAATTAATCAGCACAGAAACTCCAAAGCACAAAAAGAAGATATATATATATATATATACACACACATACATACACACACACACACTTTTATCATTGTACCCCCAAGAATTTAAAACTACTTTCACCCCTGGATAGGACTGAAGTCTTATGGTTGCAAAACAAAGGCAAAAAAATCCTTTTCACAGCAAGCAAAGAAAACTTCAAGTAACCCTGATTTCAACGAGGTTTCAGCGTATTTGAACAAAAAACAAGCAAAACTTATCTGTGCCCAAAAGTGCTGCCTTGCAGCTAAATAAAGCAAAAAGGCTCAACACCACATTCAGAGACATTCCTGACAATTAATTTGTGAGGAACTTGGAATCATAAATATCACAGTTTAAAGGAAGAAATTACACAGAGCTGGTTTAGGAAGCAGCATTAAACTTACATCAGTTTTTGTAGGTTGCAGCCTGGAGTCTGTAGGAAACCACAGAGCTCCTTCACTCCAGCATCTTTCAGGTCGTTCCCACTCAGGTCCAGTTCAGTCAGATGGGAGGGGTTAAAGGTCAGAGCTGAGGCCAGAGCAGCCCAGCATTTCAATGACAAACTGCAGTTCTCCAGCCTAAATGAAGAATAAAACAGAGGAGAGCTGAAGCCACCAGGATGCAGGTTAAAAATGAAATATGAAAGTAAAAAATGATGAAAACATCACAGCAACATGATGAACTGATGAATAATATCCGATCCAGGAAATCTGGTTTAAACCAGCAGAACCAGAACATGTGACTGACATGAACATTTCAGTGGTTCTGAACTGTAACTTCAGTGGACTTGAAGAACCAGAGTGTGATTTTAGAGGATGAGGAAGATGGAGATCCAGTTAATGTGCAGATGGTCGGGATGGACAGGCTGGTCATCATATTTTTAACTTTGATATCAGCCAGTGTTTGCAGGGCTTTAGACTCATCCTTTGCGCTGGTATTTTTTTCTATTTTTTTCTGAGGTGCACCTAAATTTTTGTTGAGAAAACAAACCTCAGACTCTTCACTTCGCTGACTGATCTCTGCAGAACGTCACACACAGGCTTCATTCCTGAGTCTCCAGTGGTTTTCTCCACGTTGATCCGAATTATTTCCAGTTTTTCCAGACTGTTGCTGGATTTCAGTGCTGAGGCCAAAACTTCCCATTCAGCCTCTGAGAGTTTAATGACACCAAGTCTGTGAAGGAGAAATGATTAAACCAGACAATCTGTCACAAACACAGTGAAATAACAGCGACATCATCTGATGAACATTGAGCATCAAGTTTAACATGACACAGAATCTCTTCAGTCTCAGTGGTTCTGGTCCAGGTCCAGGTTCTGGTCCAGCTGCAGACCTGCTGTGTCTCTGGTTCTGTGTTCAAAGCTCCATTTAACCAAAGTGATGAGACAAACGGAGGAGGTGAACAGCAGCAGCCTGGCGGGCCTCCAGGCTTCATTTACCCCACACCAGACAAGCATTGCTTGGTTATTTATTTTAAATATGGTTTTTGTAAACAGTAACAGTGATGGCAAATATGAGATTATAGTTGACCAATGAACTGAGAATGAAGATTGGGTGAAAATCAATTGCGTTGTCTGATGCCTGGTTGTTTCCCTCTTCAAACTTTTATAATTCAGCTCTGACTGCACACGACACCTTTTCCTCAAAACGTTTGATTTGGAAGGTGCTCATGTATCATGCAGACCAGGGTCTCCTGTACCGGCAGGTTCAGGCGCATAAAGGCTGTTTGGACAATGCAGCACCAAGGTGAGCGTCAAAAATAAAACTCTGGCTGCTTGGTGGGCCTGCTCAAAGCTCTAAGAGCAAATTATAAAGGCTGAGGTATATTCGCTTTTAGAGGCTCACATTGAGCACACAGTAGACCAGGGGTGGTCACTCCAGGCCTGGAGGGCCTCCTGCAACTTTTAGATGTGTCTCTACCACACCTGAGTCAGATAATGAGTCGTTAGCAGAACCTGACTGCGCTGAGGAGGAGCTTCAGCTGTTGGATCCAGGTGTGTTGGACCAGGGAGACATTAAGAGCTGCAGGTCCAGGACTGACCAGCCCTCCAGGAGACATGTGAGCACATAGGAGGGTAGGAGTTCATATATATATGCACTATTACTATTTATATATAAATAAATAAAAAAATAGTGACGTGCGGTCAGGGGAGGCAGAGCCTCACCTGTCATCATGGAAAAATTATATATATATATTTAATATAGCTTTGCTAATTTTGATGGGTTTTTTTCTACAAAAATCACTGAATTTTTGCATTTTCTCATTCAAATATTCAGAAGTGAAGGTGAGGCAGCAGCGAGCTGAGCCTCACCTGGACTGATCAGCCTCTGGCTAACTGCACTGGCTGCCATTCAAAGCTCCTCCTGTCTGTACGTCGCCAATAAAATGGTTAAAAACATTTAATGTATGAACTGATTTTCCATAATTTAGCTTATCTATATAATGTACAGTGTTCTTTGTCACCAGCTGGGTGTGCAACGTGATTCGTGTGCTGAGGAGCGATCAGAAACGGCAGAGAACAGACTCGAGGTGAGGCAGACAGTTCTCTTGCCTCATGACAGGGGGCGCTCATGATCCCAGATATTGTGACTCCACAACTGCAGCGTAAGACACAGTGAGCTAGCCAAGGAGCTAGCCACACAGTAAATAAGTAAAGTACAGCGATATATTTGTTTTCTCATCTCTTCCGACGTAAACATGAAAGACTACATTTCTACACTTAAACAGTTTTCTAAAGTGGATTTTCAATTGAAGCAGGAGATAATAACTAAAGGAAGACCAACACCGGAGCTGAAAGTTTTGCTTCAGACTCTGACGGAGTGGTGTACAAGAAACGACAGGCTTTGTGGATGTCCTGCTAAACAGCCATTACTGCTTTCCTTGAGGATAGACGTGGCTTTGGATGAACTGATATTTTTGTGCAGAATGAGCGGCACTTGGTCTTCATTTATAAGCAAAGGTAAGATGGCGAAAACATTTTTTGTTTAGTTTATTAGGTTGATTTTAACATAAAAACTGATAAGTTGAATGTTTTTAAAATAATCACAATCTCTAAATGCCAAAAGCTGCAGCAGTGCTGTCCTGGATGAACTGAATATTTAGATGTTTTAATGTTTGAAATAGTCCAAAGTAGTTAAAGGCCAAAAAATGTCCAGAAGCAACTTGGAGAACGAAGAAGAAACAGGAGGACAGCAGTGCTGAGTCAGCATCCACACCAGGAAGACATCTGGACTCACCGAGCCGTTCTGCAGTTCCTCACAGCTGGAATCAGTCTCCGCCGTCCCACTGCTGATGTGTTGAACTTCTCTGGCTCAAACTCATCCAGAACCTCGTCTGACATCCACAGCGCATATCCCAGAGCTGAGCACTGGATCTCTGAGAGCTTCTTCTCTGATATGTCATTCTGTTTCACCATCCGTAGGATCCCCTGGAAAACTGAGAGGTCGTTCATCTCCGTCAGACAGTGGAAGATGTTGATGCTTCTGTGAGGAGAGATTTCATCAGTGTTTATCATCTTCAGGTTGTTGATGATTCTCTGGATGGTTTCTGGACGGTTCCTTGTCTGACCCAGCAGGCCTCCTAACAGTCTCTGGTTGGACTCCAGACTGAGGCCATGAAGGAAACGAACAAACAGGTCCAGGTGGCCATTTTTACTGCTGAGGGATTTCACCATGACTTTCTTCAGGAACTCATCCAGAGAGGAGCAGCTGTGGTCTTTTCCCAGGACCCGGATGATCACCTCTGTGTTGCTGCTGGTGAAACAGTGGAGCATGTAGACTGCAGCCAGAAACTCCTGGACGGTCAGGTGAACAAAGGAGTAGACTGAGGTGTTGCCCATCCCTCTTTCCTTCTTAAAGATCTCAGTGAGCACTCCTGAGAACAACGAAGCATCTTTGATGTCGAGGCCGAACAGTCTGAGGTCTGATTTACTGAACATCAAGTTTCCCTTCATCAGCTGCTCCAAAGCCAGTTTTCCCAGAGACTCAACCATCAGCCTGATGTCTGAATCTTCTTCAGGCCCTTCGCCATACTTCTCCTTCTTGTTCTTGTTCTGAAACACCAGGAACTTGATGTACATCTCGGTCAGGGCCATTGGCAGCCATCCTCCCTTTTCCTTCTTTTGCTCATCCTCCAGAACATCAGCAGTGATCCAGCAGAAAACTGGGATGTGGCACATGATGTGGAGGTTTTGTGATGCATTGATGCAGGAGAGGACTCTTTCCACCTGATCATCTCTGAATCTCTTTCTGAAGTACTTCTGTGGGTCAGTGAACCCTCTGACCTCTATGGCCCTGTCAATGAACCTATCTGGGATCTGATTGGCTGCTGCAGGCCGTGTGGTTATCCAGAGGCGAGCAGAAGGAAGCAGCTCCCCACTGAGGAGGTTTGTCAGCAGAGCATCCAGTGAGCTGGACTCTGTGACGTCAGTCAGGATCTGATTGTTGCGAAAGTCCAGAGGAAGTTGATTTTCATCCAGACCATCCAAGATAAACAGAACCTGGAACTTTTTAAAGCTGCGGATTTTGGCATCTTTAACGTCTTTAAAGAATCTATGAATCAGTTCCACCAAGCTGAAGTTTTTCTGTTTCAAGGGATTCAGCTTTCTGAAGGTGAATGGAAATATGAACTGGATGTCCTGGTTGGTTTTGCCTTCAGCCCAGTCCAGAATGAACTTCTGTGTTAAGACCGATTTCCCAGTGCCAGCCACGCCCATGGTCATCACTACTCTGATTGGTTCCTTTCCAGGTGGGACTGTAAAGATGTCTTCTGGCGTTAAACCTGCTGTAATCTGTCCGACCTCATTGGCCTCTCCAGTTTGCCCCTCTGTGAGGTGGAGATCTGTGTAGAAATCCTTCAGAAAGCTTTTCTTTCCACGCATGGCCACGCCTTCACAGAGAGACTGGACCGTCGTCTTCAGAGACTCCTTCAGGTCACGTTGACACCGGCCAACAATATCTGAACGAAGACAAAAAACAAAAGAGGAAACTTCAGAAAAAACTATTCCTGATATTTTTGGTAGGGGTTTTTTGGTGGAGGCTGAAGGTCTTCCCCTCAGCGACGTAAAAATCATTCCCATGTAAAAACAGCTTCACTATCGTTCCTCAGTTGGAGGGTTGCCAGTTCGATACCTGCTCTGTCTGCCTCTGTTGGTCACCCCCCTGGCCTGCTGGGGGTCAGGGGGCGGCCGCCTCCGACTGGGGTCAGGGGGCGGCCGCCTCCGACTGGGGTCAGGGGGCGGCCTCGCCACTAGGGCAGCTGTGTCTGTTATTCAGTAGCTCGCCTCCATCAGAATGACTGAAATTACTGTGAAACTATTTGGAGTCCTATGAACTTGAAAAAATGCTGTACAAGTCCAGACACTAGGAGTTGCACCAATTAGTCGACTAGTCGACTCGTCGATTCTTTTCTCTGCAATGACTTTTCTGGGCCAGTCGACTAGTCGCAATCACGTGACAAAACAGATTTTTCCAAGGAAATGAAAGAAGGTGGACTAGGTGAGTTCGTCAGAAAGTTCAAATTGTATAAAAATGTAAATAATTTAACAAAGTGAAACTGTAAATTACAGCATAGGCTACCGCAACAGGGGCGTTGCGCGGCGCGGTGGTTAGCGCGGCGCCCCGCATACAGAGACTTTAGCCCGCGGTAATCAGGAGTCCGACTCCCGTCCTCCATTCGCTGGGCCCCCTTACAGTCAGATTGCTGTTAAATAAATTAGTGCCGAAAAAATCCTAAAAAGACTACTGGAGTAATGTGCGACAACGCGTCATGACGTCAGGCTTTTTGATCCATCCAACTGATCAGCGTCTCTTGTAAAGAAAAGGTTTGACTACATCTGGAAACTAAGTCCAAGCTTCATCCTGAGGGTCTGATGGAGGCGATGTCTGCCGCCGTCTGCATGTCGGTTCAGAGAGCCGCTGCTGATCAGCGGAGCATCGGGAGGAGGAGCAGCAGGAAGCAGCGTTTAATTCAACTGTAACCAAACGGGATCCGTTCATAATAAGTTTGGTTTGTGATGTTCCAAAAGCACCAGTGGTCAGTGTGATAATTTGACTCCTAAATGTGCAGCTATCCAGAGATCATCAGCATCAGTCGGTGTTTGGAAAAACAAAACAAAAGTCAGACCCGACTTTGTGCAACGAGCTTTTCTCCGCCGCTCACGAAGAATGATCCGTTTATTGCTCTTTAATTCCTCATAACAGACTGAGTAAAAGCGGGAGGCGGGTCAATATTAGCCGTGAATTTAGCTGATAAAGCCTCCAAGTAGTTGTGAAGCGGTTTGCGCTTACGTCACTATGACGTCACCGCGACTAGTCGACATCGACTCGACTATAATTTAGTCGACCTTAAAAAATATGTAGTCGTTCAACCCCTAGGCCATTTACTATTTAAAGTAAAAAAAGTTTTTGGTTAATAAAAATATATCCTAATGTTTCAATTATTTATATTATCAGTTATAATTTAATTAATTAACAAGGAAAACCCCAGAAAATTAAAATCTTAGTTTTCCAGATGGTAGTGGTTATTTGGTTTTGACTTAAACTGCTTTCCATAACCTTTAAGGCAGTTCCTGTTCAGACGGAGGCCGCATATCGCTGCTCACCATAAAGGTCTAATCTTTCTGTTTTCTGTGAAAGAGACGCCAAAACTGGAAATAAAACTGAGAATTGAAGAAGTTTGTAAGACTCACATCACGTTGTGGTAGTTATGAAGAGAACAGATTTTTATTTAGAGTTGAATAAAGCAGCGTTTCTGTTGGGCTGACCTGGATCAGGGCAGTCGGAGGACAAACCCAGCTGATCGGACAGAGCTGGATCTAGAAGCTGAAGCTGCTGGATCATCATTTCACAGGCTCTGCTTCCTTTCCTCATCACAGCATCTATGGTGCTACTGGCTCTGGTTTGGTTCTTTACCAGTATGTCCCGTTTCTCCAGACGATTAAAGACTCCCTCAGTCTCAAGGCCATCGAGGAGCTGAGTCAGGATTTCCTCAGAAACTCTCCTCACAAACTCACTGCGAACTTTCAAAAGCTTTTCCTCTGCAGGCGGAAATCAAGAGACAGACGGGATTTATTCAATCTGAAACCTCAGAGAAAATGAACATGTTGCTCCCTGCAGAGATTCCCTCAGTCTGCTGGGATCAACCTGATCTGCTGCTGCATCGTGTCTGAGTGACCAACACCTGATTCTGTCTACATGTGATCCACTGAAGCATCTGATCTGCAGAGGAAGATCAATAAAGGAGAAACCTTCTGAATGCATGATTCTAGGATATTCTGACATCCTAATTTTATTGGTGAAATTATCGACTGATCAACACATTTTCTTCCCTCTACCATAACCAAAGAGTCTTCAGTCCCTCTCTAACCTCTAAGACCTCAGTGCATAAAATGCACAGCAAATATATCAGAGTTTACCAGCAGAGTTTCACGGCGTAACTTAAAGCAAGGATGTGCATCAGGAAAACTGCAGTAACAAAAACAACTTAGAAAAGTTTTACATCTCTACCGTAAAAATCTATTTACACAACCAGGAAAACAATCGATGCTCTTCTGATCTTCCTCCACCACCTCCAGATCTGTTCACTGGTAAAATATGGCAGCAAAGTACAATTTACCGAGTCTGGCAGAACCGGCCAAATGAGGTCCAAACCTAAACTACTTGGGTTAAAAGAGAAACAGAAACACAGGATAAAGAAATACTTTCTGATTCTGGAGGCATCGATGGAATCAGACCTTCAGGAATGTATCAGTCATATGACCAGCTGTGGTTTAACAGGAAACGTCACTGAACAAAACAACATTAAGTCGGTAAACTCTGAGGCTGTGGTTCACCACATACAAGCAACATGAGCTGTGATTGGCTCATTTCTGGCTCTGTGGTCAGACAGAATTAAACTCCAGAGAAATATAAATATTTCATGACGTCTCCCAGTTACACACCAGATATTCAATAACCTGATAAAACCCAGTTTATGATTTAAAGGTTTCAGGTTCTGATCACTTACCGAAGTCCTGCTGCTTCTCTTCAACACGCTGTGCCATCTTTCTCTGGAAAACACAAAGCATTCATCATGTTTCACACTTTATGCAAAAAATAATTAGTTTTAATGAGGCCAGAATGGAAAAATACTGAATCAGAAATGGAAAATACTAATTTAAACCACATTATATTCATCACACATCCTTGTTCTTGTATCACTTTGAAAACTTTGACTTCAATTCATTTTAGAAACTATAAACTGAATATAAATATATTCCTAACACTAACCTGAACAGACACACATCACCTGCAGACCACAAACTAAGGTTTAGTCACCATAAGGACCATTGGTTCACACACACACACACACACACACACACACACAATTTCAATATGAAAACAGACTTGATCCATAAAACCTGATAAACAATAATTTATCTTTTTTTTTACAGGGTCCAAAGTTCCTGTTAAGGCTCAGCATCGGCTGTTAATCATTCTAGGATCTGATTTCCTTCAAGCTGAATTGAAAATATCTTCATCTTTGTATCCTGCTTGTTGCCAGCTGCGACCAGCAGGGGGCAGCACCAGCTAGCAGTGCTACAGGAAGCCGTTTGTCCTGCAGACAGAAGAAGCTTCTCCGGTCTCCGTCTCCACCATGGTTGGATTTTCTGATCAGTTTCTCCTGATTTCATCACACCTGACTCACCTGAGGCTCCGCCCCTTTACAATTATTACTCAATGAAAAAAAAAAAACCTTTAAAGTTTTGTGAGAACCGCCGCCTCAGTTCACTCACCTGCTCCTGTAATTCCACAGGTGAACACCAGATGGCGCTGTTGGATAACTGTTTTGACATCATGTTTGTTCATTTTCGTTTCTTTTTCATTTATTAAGTAACGATTGTTAAAATCGTTACTTAATAAATGAGCATCAGTTTTAAAAAGAAGGAAAAACTGCAGCCAGAAACAGAACCGTTTGGGTCAAAGGTCAAAACCCTGCCGCCAACCCAAAGAGCAGAAGCTGCAGTCAATCTAAAGAGGCTCTCAGTTCATTTCTGTTACGAACCCAAACATTTAACATTTATATTGAGGGACAAAAATATTTTTAATTCAGCTGGAACTCAGATTTTCCTAATTAAAACAGATTCAGACAGAAAGCAGAACATGAATATTTAAATCATCAGTCATTAAAACCTGAAATACATTAACAGCTTTATACCAGCAACCAGGGTCGCAACTACATATCATTCAGGTGGATTCATGTGATTTATGAATCTTCATAAATCACATGAATGGTTTCTGAATGTTGGTCCTGGAGGCATTTTTAACGGTTCTGGTGGGTTTTACATGTTAACTCAGTTAAATGGGTCTAAATAACAGCAGTGGGTGGGATGATCTGTTTACATACTCTAGGGGGCGCTGTGTCACTTCACCAGACCCACAATCATTGATAAATGTTTGGGAATCGATTAATATAAAATCAGCCCTCTGCTGCCACCTGGTGGTCAGACTGAGGTACTGCTGCTGAGACCAGAAAAATAAAACAAACTATATCAGAATGATGTTTTTTTTTTTTTTTTTCATTTAAAGGTAAATTCATATTGAAACATTTTCCACCCCATGACCAGGAACCCAGATCTCTTAACTGGGACACAAACAGTGAGAACCAACTGGAACCAGTTTGACCCAGTTAGAAAACTGGAGTTTAAAATATTCATTACTGTGAGCAAAATTAGTTTGTTGTTACAGATGAAAACAAAAAGAAAACTGATGAAACTACAGAAATCAGATGATGCAGCTCTGCAGCATGAACCAGAACCAGGCCACGTTCTGGTTCTGGTTCTGTCCAAACACAGAAAACCAGCTCAGGACTCTGAGAGGGAAACTAGAAGAATGTGAAGTTAAACTCACCCTGATCCGGATCTTTGGTTCTGTTCACACAGAGTCTGAGCGAACTGCAAACTGGACCCGTTTGCTGGTCTTATACCTGACCCACCTGAGGCTCCGCCCCCTGACAGGACAGGTGTGAACAAGATGGAAAGGTGAGATCACTTCCTGTTTCCATGAATAACTGCAAATGAATTAAGCCGTAACAGAGCAGAGCCAATGAGTGGAGAGAAGAATGAATCTAACTTTGTTCTGTTATAAACTGATAAAATGATCCTGATTGTTTAACAGAAATATATCTGAAGTAAATCAAACATTTATGCTAATGAATAAGTTTAGTTAAATCATTTGTGATTTTTGCAGTGATTGGAAGTTAAAGGACGTTTGAACAAAGTAAATCTGTGTTTAAATCATGAATCTTTAAGCAGTAGATTTTATTAAATAAATCTGTGTGGTGACTGAAACTGACTGTTATATAAGTTTACATTATAAATAGAATAATTCTGAAGTGATATAAGTCGGTTCAGACTGGAGGAGATGCAGACGGATCTTATCAGCATCCAGGCCCAGTCGGGCATCAACCTGATCGTTTCACCCTGAGCCGCCGCCGCAGACACCGCTTTCAGTCAGACTATAAGTTTAATGAGAAATGTAACATCTGCTATTTTTAGCTTTTATTTAACAGCTTCCAGCTTTATTGTACCGAACTGTTGCCAGATCACCTGATTCAGAAATGATACAGAAAACTTGTTTTCTCTGTTTTACCTGCAACAAGCTGATCTGTCTGATCAGATCTGAGAGATTTTACAGGTGGAGACTCATTTTTATCATTTTTATCATTTTTA